CCTGCTTCACAGTTCAGATAGCGCTGGTGTAATTCACAGGGTTGTGTTGCACATCCTGCACGGCCAACACTGAACAGAGGACGTGCGCGTGCGTACCTTCTGCTCAGCACCGCATATGCAGAACAGGCACTTCCTTGTGCTGCTTACACCATTTTCCATAGGTAGTTGCAACTGACTTGCTTTATATGACAGTAGTTCACTTTGGCCCGCTGCAGAGCGCTCGGGGAGCTGGGAATCCTAGAGCCGTGGACCTGCAAGGGCCCTCCAGAGTTGCATCTAGTCCAGCCCCTTGCCTGAGGCAGGGTCAGCCCTGTCCAACCCACCCCAGGTAAAGCATAATCTGAACTCTCCGTAAGCCTAGTGTCAAGCCTGGCGCAACGCAGACCGAACACCCCGACCTGCCACAAGCAAAGCAGGGGAACCCCTGCAGCCAGCGCTCCGCTTCTCTGAAATGTCGTCAATGTACGTTCGAGAGGTCCCAGGTAGGGGCCGTGCCCCCCGCCACAGAGGAAGGCGAAACCCCCACCAGTCCATACCAGTCTGACCAGGGGGTAAAATTCCTTCCTGACCCCAGATATGGCATCAGTCTGACCCCGAGTAGAAGGGCGAGGAACGTCTGGCTTTGGTCCCAGCAGGAGCATTGGCACAGCCCATCCCCAGCCAGGGCTGCAGCCAGCGCCTCTGCGGGAGACTTAAAGACCCCTTGACGCATGGAGCATGGTGTGCGTTGGGGAGCGAGGGACAAGCAGCAAAGCCCAGAAGTGTGGGAAATCCCCGTGCCTCAACACAGACATCACTGCACCTAGATCACCCCGACCAGGGCCTGTCCAGCCTCTTCTTGACACCTCCAGTGATGGGGAGTCCACCCCTTCCCGGGGCGTCTCTTCCACCACCTCCCAGCTCCAACAGCGAGGTTTTTCTGATCTCCAATCTAAACTTTGCTGCAACTTCCAGCCATTGGTGCATGCCCTCTCTGCAGCAATGTGCTTTCCCTCTTCTTTACAGCAGACCTTCAGGTATCTGAAGACTTGTGTCATGTTAATAGAAGGACACGGTCGGTTGACTGCCCAGCTCCTTCAGCCTCTCCCATGACTTGCCTTCCAAGCCCTTGATCACCTGAGTTGCTGCCTCTGGACCCTCTCTAACTTCTCCACGTCCCGTTTAAAACATGGAGCTCAGAACCACACACAGTATCCAGATGGGGCCTGACCCGTGCCGAACACAGTCACCATCACCTCCGGGTCTTGCACCTAATGCTATTTATTGATGCAGCTCCAAACCCCGTTTGCCTTTTGTGCAGCTGCCGCACGTTGCAAACTCCTATTGAGTCTGTGATCTACCGCGGCTCCCACGTCCTTTTCCATGGAGCTGCCATTGAGCCAGGTGTCCCCCTTGTTGTATTTGTGTAGAAAGAAAGGGCTCTTGGTCTCTTGCAAAGGTTATGTTGCTCCAGGGTCTGGAATGAGCTGTTAGCTTCTTGCCAGCGACTGGGCTTGTGTGCTGCAGGCCGGGTGGGAGAAGGAGGGTCTTGTACCTTCTTGCCTAGCCCAGCTGGGTGTGGGGGGCAATAGGGCCTTTTACCCTGGCTCCCAGCCTCTTGATCCTGCAGCCTCCCCTTAACAATTGCAAAGGGCTGCACAGCCTCCAGGGCCGGAAGGGGAGCTGTGTCGCCATCACGGTGTGAGGCTTCGCCTTGGTTACCCAAACTTGCTTAGCGCAATGCTGGGAAGCATTGTGGTTCCTGGCGGCACCTGGGAACTGCTGCCCTGTACGTGAGAGCCATCGAGGGGCTGTGGGAATGGGTGGCTTGATGCCAGTGTCTGAACCCCTTTGGGTACGGGCTGCGGAGGAGACCGGGCAACTTGCCGCCAGGGCTGACAGCCGCTTGCTTGTGGCGGGCCGAGCGCCACCATTGTGCTCGGTGAGATACCAGCTCGGGATGCAGAGCAGCAGGAGCATGGGTGTGCGAGATGCTGACTCCCTGCACCCGTATAACAGCAGCACCCCGGGAGTCTGGGTGAGGAGCACCTCCAAAGTGACGTTTGGACAAACAGCCCGGTTTGCTAAGAGCGGGCAGGGACTCCGCAATTCCTGCCCGTCGTCTGCTGTCCCCCCACAGCACATGAAAGCCGCCCCGGCGCAGATCAGCCCCTCGTCCTGGAGTCTGCATGGAGTCGCACTTCCTCTGCAAATGCTGTCATTGCTGCTCTTCATAAAAAAGCCACGCTCATTCGCGAGCTGTTCGAGTTTGAGTCTCGCCTAGCGTGTTCTTTCAGCTGCCTGGCCCCTCAGTCCGTCACCTTGGTTATTTCTGCAACTTCGCTGGTTTTAAAAGACTGGCTGGGGCCCACCCAGGTCTGGGCTTGATGCTGGAGTCTCGGGCTGAGGCTGCAGCAAGGCCCTTGTATGGGAACAGAGGCCTGTGGCCCGCCCAGCACCCTGGCCGGATGGACACGGGGCTGGGGCAGGGCAGGGCACAGTGAGCCATGGGAGTCTGGGGGTCTTGTGCTGTCACTCAGCCCTGCTCTGTAGCAGGATTTACTGACCGGTGTGGGTCTACAAACCTGGGGATCTCCCCAGTCCCAATTTGACCCCTCAGTGGGGTTCTCAGCCAGGCCCGCTCGGGTCCCGGTGGCTGCCTGGGCCTGGCCACAGCAGGTGCTTCCCACCCCTGCCCGGCACCGCGGCTCGGGGCTGGGGCTGGGGCTGGGGCTGGGGCTGGGGGAGCTGCTGGGCCCCTGGTGCAGGGCTCAGCTGGGGTCTGGGTTGGAGCCGTGCTGGGTTTCATTCCCAGCGCTGGGCTGCATGTGCACCAGGCAGCGTGGCTGGGCCAGGGCCCAGACCTGTCCCTGCTCCTGCTGCCTGGGATGCCGGCCTCGGACCAGCAGGCAGCAGGGGGGAGAAGTGCTGGGGCAGGGGGGCAGCAGGGACCCAGACTGCCGTGGCTGCTTGGAAGCACAGGGCACCCGGTGCAGCCGTTGCCTGGGCCTGCCCGTGCCTGTTTCCTGACCAGCGGCCAGGGCTGTGTGCATGTATGGGTGAGTGCGTGTGTTCATCCTCCCCCACGTGCTGTATGAGCACTGGTGTGGTGCCTGGGGAAGGACAAGTGTGCAGGCACACATGCACATGTGCACACTCAGACTCGCATGCGCGCACACACAGACAAGCATGAAGTCACATGCACACTCAGGCATGCACGCACAAAGACATGCATGTGCGCACTCAGGCACACACATGGACATGCATGCACGCACATACATGGACATATATTTGCACACATGGACATACATGCGTGCATGTGCACACAGACATGCACACATGATCAAGCATGTGCACATGCATGGGCACGGACACGCATGCACACATGGGCACTCTGATGTACATGGACACACCCACATGTGGACACATGTATGCACACGTGCAAACACATGCACATGTACACTCAGACATTGCACACTCAGACGCATGCAAATACACGCACGAGCACTTGTACACTCTTGCACACGCACCCACCCGCAGCCAGCTGAGGCTTCCCCCCACAGCTCCCGGCCTGCGGAGCCTGCAGCTCCCTCCTGCCCGTGTCCGCCCTGGCGGTACCTTCCCCGGCCCTTCCTGTGGGCCCGGACACGTGCGCCTTGGCTGCCCCCAGGTTCCAAGGGTCGGGCTGCAGTCTGGGGGGAGCAGGGACCCCCTGCTCTGAACTCCCCTCCGTGCTCAGACCCCCCGCTCCTGCCCATCCCTGGAGCTGCGATGGGGGTTGCCCCGCTCTCCTGTGCCCCCTCATCCCTGGCACCCAGTCCCGGACCCCGGCACAGCCCCCACGAGGGTGCCCGGCTGCAGCTTCCCCACCGCCCGCTGCCCAGGGTCCCACCGACCGGCTCCTGCACCCGCTTGCCACACACCCACTGAGCCCTGGGGGCCAGGGGGTCTGCGTGGAGGCCCCTGCGCCCGTGGACAGAGCCTGGCAGCTCCGGGCCCCGCTGCTCAGGCCCCCCCCATGGCCCACGTGAGACCCTCCAGCCTTATCTCCTCCTGCAGCCCTGGCACCCACCCATGACGGCTGGCCCAGGCGGGGAGGTGGAGGGGAGGCTCCTGGCCCCGTCCCTTGCTCACTCGGGCCCAGGACACCGAGGAGAGCTCCGGGCTGCGCTGGCGTGGGCGCTCGGCCAGGTAAGGGGGCCGTGTCCCTGCCAGGGATGGGCCGTGGGGCCTGGCTCTCGCTCCCGGGTGGTCTGGGGGTGGCAGGAGCAGGGCACGGGGGTCACTCCACTGCAGGGATTTGGGGGTCTTGCCATGGGGACTCCTGCCCATGCTCCTCCCCGAGGGTCTGCCTTCCCCAGCAGTGCAAGCCCCCTTGCAGGCAGCGCTTCCCGGTGCCCCGCGTCCCCCCGGGCTCTGCGGGTGCGGTGCCGGACTCGGCGTATCGCTGCGTCCTTGCGGTCTCCGTGCGCTGCTGTGCGAAGCTCCGCGTGGCGTGGCCCACGTTATCAGGCTTTGGCAGCTGGAAGGGGCCGCGCGGGGCACTGCAGACTGCCCATCGCGGGGGGGGGGCACAGACCCTGGTCGGGGCGGTCCAGGTGCAGCGATGCCTGTGCTCCGGGCTTGGCTGGGGGCTCCCACCCTTGCACCCTTTTTTCTTCTTCTCCTGGTGTTGGAGTTTCTGAGCCTCCCCAGAGGCACCGGGGGTTGCACCAGGCCGTGCCCAGTCCAGGCCAGAGGGTCCTGGATAAGAGGGTCGTGTCCCCTTGCTCAGGGTCAGACCGGCACCAGATTTGGGGTCAGGAAGGACTTTTACCCCCAGGTCAGATTGGTGCAGCCCGGGGGGGTTTGCCTTCCTCTGTAAAAGGGGGCACAGCCTCTACCCAGGATCTCGAGCACAGGGCAGGGAGCAGAAAGCAGAGCAGCAGGTGGTGCCAACGTGGCATGGGAAAGCAGAGCAGAAAGAGCAGTGGCCCCGAGGGCCGACCCTGCGGGAACGGCCCGAGGAGCCTGGTCCTGAGCGTGCGGTGCGTGGGGGGACGCACCGCTTCGTGCGGAGTAACGGGCCGACCCGTCTTGTCTTTCAGCACCATGCCCCGGCCGTGGCTTCTCCTCCTCCTCCTCCTCCTCCTCCTCCTGGCTGGGAAGAGCCTGGGAGATGCTGAGTACGACACCCCCAAGGATTTCCAGGCTGTCTACGTGGGCGCGAAGAACGACATCCACGAGGTCCCGGCCGCCACCAAGCCCGGCGTTGCTGAAATGATCTTCCTGCGCACCAGCATCACGGCCGTGAGGGAAGGGGCTTTCAGGAACATGCCCGACCTGCTCAAAATCTTGTTCATCAACACGAAGGTCCGGACGGTGGAGGCAGGAGCCTTTGATAAGCTGGGGAAGCTGCAGGAGCTGGAGATCTCGGGGGCCACACTGGGCAACGTGCCCGCGGAGGTCTTCAGGCAGCTGACCAGCCTGTGGTGCCTGGACCTGCGGGACAGCCAGGTGCAGCAGGTCCCCAAGGGGCTGTTCGACGACTTGGGGAGCCTGGGAGAGCTCTTCTTGCACAACAATGAAATCCCGTCTCTCCCGCCGGGCATCTTCGACGCGCTGGCCAAGCTCACCTTGCTGCACCTGGCGAGAAACAAGCTCCAGGCGCTGCCCCCGGACGCCTTTGCCAAGCTCCCTCAGCTCCGGGTTCTCCGGCTCTTCGAGAACGGGCTGCAGGAGCTGCCGGACGGGCTGCTGGACAGTCAGGCAGAGCTCAAGGAGCTCAGTCTGAGCAAGAACAAGATCAAGGCGCTGCCCTCCGGGCTGCTGGAGAAGCTGTCGCTGCTGGAGAAGCTGTTCCTGGATGGGAACCAGCTCGAGGGTCTTCCCAGAGAGGCTTTCTCTGGTCTGGGCAACCTGCGGCAGCTGAGGCTGGGGTCTAACCGGCTCGGCGCGCTCCCGGAGCGCTTGTTTGGGGCCATGCCGCAGCTCCGAGAGCTGGACCTGGGCAGCAACAAGTTGAGGTCTCTGCCCCACGGGATCTTTGCCAACCTCCCTTCTCTCAGCAAACTCGTCTTGTCCCACAACCAGCTGGAGACCCTGCCGCAGGCCACGTTTGCCGGGCTGGCCGCGCTCACGGAGCTCAACCTGGATGCCAACAAGCTCTCCTCCCTGGACCTCGGGGACCTGGCTTCCCTGCCCCAGCTGCGCACGCTCAGCGCGCGCAAGAACCGGCTGCAGAGCGTTCCCGCGGGGCTCCTGCAGGCCCTGGGGCAGCTGCGCGCCGTGTACCTGAGCGGGAACCCGTGGCGCTGTGACTGTCACCTGCGTGGCCTGCGCAGCTGGATGCAAGCCAACAAGGACAAGGTGAAGGAGGTGTCGCAAGTGCGGTGTGAAAGCCCTGACGCGCTGCAAGGGGAAGTCATCGACTTGCTGGGAGAAGACCAGCTCGTCTGCTGGAGCACGGTGCCCGCATCCACAGCCCCGACCACGCTGTCTTCATCTACCTCTGTTCCCGTGGCTCTGGCACCACCCACGGCTGCAGCCACCACGGTGCACTCCACCACCATGCTGGAGCCCCCCACCACGGCAGCACCCACCACCACGGAGCCCCCCACCACATTGCCACCAACTGCGGCAGCACCCACCACCACATGGGCACCATCCACGGCTGCACCCCCCACCGTGGAGCCCCCCACCACGGCAGGACCCACCACCGCAGAGCCCCCCACCACCCTGGCACCACCCACAGCAGCACCCCCCCCCACGGAGCCCCCCACCACATTGCCACCAACTGCGGCAGCACCCACCACCACATGGGCACCATCCACGGCTGCACCCCCCACCGTGGAGCCCCCCACCACGGCAGGACCCACCACCGCAGAGCCCCCCACCACCCTGGCACCACCCACAGCAGCACCCCCCCCCACGGAGCCCCCCACCACATTGCCACCAACTGCGGCAGCACCCACCACCACATGGGCACCATCCACGGCTGCACCCCCCACCGTGGAGCCCCCCACCACGGCAGGACCCACCACCGCAGAGCCCCCCACCACCCTGGCACCACCCACAGCAGCACCCCCCCCCACGGAGCCCCCCACCACATTGCCACCAACTGCGGCAGCACCCACCACCACATGGGCACCATCCACGGCTGCACCCCCCACCGTGGAGCCCCCCACCACGGCAGGACCCACCACCGCAGAGCCCCCCACCACCCTGGCACCACCCACAGCAGCACCCCCCCCCACGGAGCCCCCCACCACATTGCCACCAACTGCGGCAGCACCCACCACCACGGAGCCCCCCACCACATTGCCACCAAACCCACCACCACGGAGCCCCCCACCACGCTGGCACCAACCACAGCAGCACCCACCACCACGGAGCCCCCCACCACGTTGCCACCAACCACAGCAGCACCCACCACCACATTGGCACCATCCACGGCTGCACCCACCACCGTGGAGCCCCCCACCACGTTGTCACCAACCACAGCAGGGCCCAGCACCACCCTGGCACCATCCACGGCTGCACCCACCACAGCGGAGCCCCCCACCACGTTGGCACCCACCACAGCAGCACCCACAGCGTTGCCCAACACCACATGGGAGGCCACCACCCTGGAGGACACCCGTGTCTCTGGTAGCACACGTGTTCCAGTGACGCTCGTGCCCGCCACAGCTTGCCTCGCGCTGAGCGCCACGACCGGAGGCACTCCGGAGTGGTCCACGGTGCCCCCCAGCTCCGAACTGACCCCGGCGCAGGAGCCGGCCACGTCCCTGCCCACGCCCACTGCCAAAGCGTACGCCTCGTCTGCGACTTCACAGCTGGCTTCTCTCTCCACCACAACCACCAGCCGCCTGCCTGTGGCCAACAGCACGATCTGGGGGCCTTCTGCATTCACTGCCCCTGTGTCAACCTCGGCCCCGCGCCGCCCTGCCTCCACGCCGCCACTCCCGTCGCGACTGCACGCCTGGGGCTTCGCTCTGGGTTCCAGGTACAGGTACTGCCAGGTGTCCCTGGTCCTGTACCTCGCTATGCTGGTCATTGAAGCGTGCTGCACCGTCTGCCTGGGGAAGTTTGTGTACCTGCTCTACCAAGCCACGCACCTGAAAGAGCTGCTCCCCGCGCCTGTGAAGCTGGTGAGCGTGCAGCCCGGGCGAGCAAAGCCGTAGGCCACGGTGCGTTTCAAACACCTATGTAGTGTTCTGTCTTCCCCAGTTCCCTGGCGGGGTTTTCTCTAACGATTAAAGTTGTTGTTTTTATCCCTAAATGTAGCTGTGCTGTCGCTGGGTGCCAGTTCCCCGTGGGGCAAGACATCCAGGAGGTGCCTGGGTTGACTCAGGGTCCCGTCGCACCCAGCCAAAGCCTGCCCTGCCTGGCCCTGCACTAGCCGGGCTCCCCGTGCCGGAGCGGGCGGCTGCCCACGTGTCTGTCCTTGCCCTGCCGCGCTCCCTTCCTCGCTCTGCGTCCAGGGACACTGCCCAGGTAAGGCCGACCCCGCGCCCGTCGCAGGCCAGGGCTCGGTTGGGCTGTCAGCGGAGACTGCCCCGGTCCTGCTCCACTCGCGGCCCGGCCGCTCGGTGCTTGGGGCTGGTGCTGGGAGCTGCCTTGATGGTGCTGGCGAGAGTGCGTCAGACAAGCTCGTGCCCTGTCCTGTGCCAGGGGGACGAGAGGGCAGCTGGGAGCGCAGCCCCTGCTAGGCTGCACGCCCGTCGTCGCCCCAGCGGGCTTCTTCTTGCGGGGCTCAGCCAGGTCCTCGGCTGGGACCAGGGGCCCGCGCGTGCCCTCGGGGCGCGGTGGCTGCAGGGAACGGCGCGCCGGGGAGACAGGCGCCGAGGTGGGGCCGGAGCGGGGGTGCTCGGTCAGGCTGCCGTTGGGCTGTGGCAGGGATACGGCACGGTGCCTGGGAGTGTCAGCTCGGGTTGTGTGCCCCGGGGTGGCTGCGCGGCCCCTCAGTCGAGGTGCCACCTCCGGCCGTGGCTGGGTCCTGGGGCAGCTGGGCACGGAGGGGGGGGGGGCGTGGGGAGGGCCC